TGACTTGTGCTGCACACAATTAGCAAATATTAGCATGCTAACACGCTAACCTGAGATGGTGACCATGGTAAAAAAATGACGTTGCCATGCTGACATCCACATAAAGCACCTGTGTACCTGAGCACTCCCTCACAGCGCTGCTACAATATGCTGCATGCTCCTTCTGTGGTGTAAAATATAATGGGTGTAGCTTAGTAATACCATAAAGCGACAGGGCCAAGCCTAACCATTATGAGGCTTATCATTATATCTGCTCCTGGAGCCAGGAGGAGGTTTAAGCACAAAGCGCCGCAGGGGAAACGCACACCTGAGACACGACGATGCTCCACTGCTAATCTGTGCTGTCAAACATACACACAGGCACAGACACACACAGATACACAAACACAGGACACGGGGAAGTGGTGACAGTCTTCCTCCCTGCAGCCCAGAGCCATGTACACTCATTTTCACACACACACACTCACACTCACACACACACGTGCACAAAATGATGTGAATAACAAGAGGAGAGGGTGGGAGGCAACTAATGAAAGACGGGAGGAAACAGCAGCGAGGGATGAAAGGTGGAGAAGAGAGGGATGTAAGATAATTTGACAGTTATCTCGGTTGTTAGAGACCGAGTGTCAGATACCTTACTTCTCTGTGACTGGAGCAAATGGGTTTTGTGACAACGTGAGTATCATGTGTGTTAAGACTAAGAAGACGGAGATGAAACATCTTTAAAAAAAAAAAAAGGAAAAAAAATCGACTCCCAATTTCCATTTTTGTAAGATGAGGAGCATTTCCAAGTCCAAGCAACACTGTTATTGATTCGCTTACTTCATTTCCTTTACAGTAACTGAAGGACTGTTTAATAAATCCCTGACATTTGTGTTTAAGTGGCAACACAAGGACTGAATTCACAAACACAACAATTTCCCAGCAGATATGATTTGATCTATTTTGAAAGTAAAATGGCGTGTTCCTCCGACAAGGCCAAACAGTCCCACACACGTCCGTCAGATCTGCACTGAAACTGCACAAAGTCACGATGTCAGCAGCATTTAACATGTCGGCTTTTTTACATCAAGATCCAAACATTATCTCCCCAGAAAAAACTAATGTGACAAACGCGTCGAAAAATGACGAAAAATCCTGCAATGTTTATGAAAGAGATAAAATCTCTTTAAAAAGGGAAAGAGCAGAAACAACTGGAGTGTGTCTACAGAACCAGGTGAAACAGGAAGCTCCACAAACTGTGTCTGATCCTGGAATTCACAAAACTGCCGGCAGCTAGACGCTACAGAGCCGAGAAGCTTCACAGAAACTCCTTCATACCGAATGTAATAACTTTGTTGAATTCATGAGCATCATTCACACTGTTGTTTCTACTGTGCATGTTCGGCTCATTTTATTATTGTATTTATTGTTTGTGAGTCACAATAATGTGTTTTAACGAGCCTGTGACTTCCACATTAGTGGTAAATTAAAGATTATTATTATTATTATTATATTATTATGATGATTATTATCATTAACCAGATCCACACCAACAATAATGGCTTCTTCCCCGGATCACGCCCCATCCATCCACCAAGTGTGGTGCAAATCAGTCCAGTGCTTTTTGCATAATGGTGCTGACGAACAAACCAAGCGGCAGACAGACGGGTGAAAACAGGCTGCTTGGTGCAGGTGAACAGGTGCAGCAGATCAACTGTTTGGCTTCATGGGAAATTCGGACAAAAATAAAATAAAACATGTAAGTTTTTTGTCATTTGCTTTTACATTTTTTCTTGAACATTGAAGGTGACGCCTTCCACACCGACAGCTGACCCTTCTTCACGCAGTTCAGTCTCAGTCTGGATTCAGACTGAAGCCTGAGAGGAGGAAAGGATGCGAGGAGGCTGGTGGAGGCTTACGCAGAGTGCTGGTCCACACGCGTCCACGTGACGAGCAGGACTCAGGCCCTAACCTGATTAAGACCAAGCCAAGACCCACTCAATTAATAGGAGCAATTGACTGGTGCAGCCCCACACAGCTGCTGCCTCTTCTAGGGAGCGCAGCAGCAAATGAACATTGACTGAACGATACACGAGGTTCCTGGTGAGTCTTCAGAGGACTCAGTCTTCTGCTCTCATGTTCCCGCTCCCCGCTTTCCTCCAGACTGTAATTTGTACATATTAACGAATTCAAAATAATAATTTTAATGAGAACTCTGCATGACTCCGCTGATTACAGCATGAAAAGAAATGAACACTAATTCACAGGGTGCTTAGTCACCTGACAAATCTATTTACGAGGTGCGTGTGTGTGTGTGTGTGTGTGTGTATGTGTGTGTGTGTGTGTGTGTGTGTGTGTGTGTCTGCATGTATGTATGTGTGTTCTCCTTCTCATGCTGTTCTGAGAGGTGTTGGCAACAATCTCCGTCATGAGAGGGGTCTATAAATAATAACCTTCCTCCAAGTGTATGATTCAGAAGCTGTGATGCAGTGTGGTGCAGCACTTCAGGTCCATACCAAGGTGTGTGTGTGTGTGTGTGTGTGTGTGTGTGTGTGTGTTTCTCACATGAAATCTTCTGTCAATCATCTAATTGATAAAGCGACTGATGGTTACAGCACTAGTGTAGATATTAACCCTTTCAGGTGCATCAGATATGTGCTATGACTCATTAAATACAGGTTCTTGTCTCATGTTATCTTAAAGATGAATCCGACAGGGAACACAGGTTGGAAGAACCAGAAGCTGCAGTTCCTCTAACGACCACTAGAGTCTGGCTCCAACAGTGAGTCAGTCCCCATAGACTCCCATGTTAAAATGTGCAACTTTACAGCAGAAATAACCATGTTTACAGCCTGGTACAAAAACTGTTTTGGTCTCTAGAGCTGATTTCCTCCTTCATGACACCTGTTTATATAACTCACCTGGTTATATTTTATTAAGGACTAAAGTTATGTAGGATTGGGGGCGTGGCCTCTCTGAGTGACAGGTGGGTCCTTGCCACAAAGAGGAAGCTCCTGAGCATCTACTGAAGCAGACCGTCCCTTTAATACACGAGCTAATTCTCCTTCAGTCAATGGAAGACATCTGCCCTGCAGCCAGATGTGCACTCCTTCCTTAGGTGTCAAGTTTGATCCAGAACAAATGCAGCGTACGAGTATGAACGAGTCTCATTTGATGGTGGCCCTGTTTTGAAACCACTTTTTCGTGCTCTAAACTTGAAACTCGAGGGTCCTGAGACATTTCCAAGTGCAGCGCCAACGTTGCCGGATTTCCACACGCAGCCGACGAGACACGTAGAAGAATGAAGCAGCTAAAAGTCTTCAACGGGAGAAAATGAAGTGCTTTCAGGTTCGGTTCTGGCAGAGGTGAGTGGCTTTTTAAAAAACACGGAGCTGCGTCTTTGTCACAGCTATTAATTTAAATTTACACATCCAAAATTCCCCCTCCTCCCACCAAAGGGGTGTGTGTGTGGGGGGGGTGGGGGGGGTCGCTACACACTCTCCCATCCCACCATCCTGCACACAACTCCCACCGCCCCCACAGCCTCTCATTTCACCCTCCCCCTCTCCTCCTCCTCCTCCTCCTCCTCTGACAAGCCGAGAGGCCACAATGAATTCTTGACATCCATGCGAGTTAATTACAATGACTGCACATGTGCTGCAGGAGATGTGTAATTATCAGCACCTCGGCAACTGCAAGGCCTGTGTTTTCGCCACTCGAGGAGAAATAGCTCCGCTCAGACCGCTGCTTTACATGATGAGGGCTAATCTACAGAACAGGAGAGAGAAACAGGATCATCTCCCCGCTGTGCGAGGGGCTCTGTGTGTTTCCTCTGAGTGATGCAGAAAGATGCAGGCCACATGATTACAGTGTTTGAGACCTGGAGTATCTGTAGACTCGTGTGTCACAGAACAACAGAGAGATGAGCGGGAGGATGAAGGACAATGCAGCTCAGAGAAGCTAAACTAACCACTCGCTTTGCCTTTCAAAGTTAGAGCATTTAAATATTCTGTGTTCAAGGGCGAGTGGCGAGAGGCACGAGTGAAACTGCTGTGTGTTTGTTACAGAGGAGAGGAGAGGAAAGGAAAGGAAAGGAAAGGAAAGGAAAGGAAAGGAAAGGACTTGGAGAAACCTTCAGCGAGGTCGGGATCTGCCTTTGAGCGACTTGCTGGCTGCGTGGTCGCATAATCTTCCCCATCACGCTGTCACACATAACCGGTTTAGGGGGAGACACACTCGCAGACTCACACAAACTGCCGTCAACGCAGAAGCAGAGACAAACAACCCAAACGCTATATAAGCATCTCTCGCCCGCCCACCTACCCAGCATGGGCCCAAACACACACATGGGCCGCTCATCGCATCTGTTCACAAGACACCCTCGCCAAAGAAAGAAACGGTCTGTACATCCATACCTCCCTCTCTCCAGCATCATTTCAGCTGCTGCTGCTTAAATAGCTCCGGCGTTCTGACAGAGGACAGAATAAAAACAGGATTTGTGTCAGTGAAGCGGTAAAGCTCTGAGTGGGCCTCAGACTGTGAACTGCAACCTTTCCTTTTCTCCCGGTGGCTGGCTGACGAGAACACAACGCACGGTGGAAGTAAAAGCAGCCTGAGTCATAAAAACTACAGCGTCGGGCTCCATCACAGCTGGCCGAGGAAACAACAGCCCCTCATGCATCTGGCTGCAGACAACAGACTGTTGATGCACATGTAGACAACATACAGCACAAACACTAATTCATTCCTCTGTGTTTTGTTTAAGGCTGATCTACTCAGACACATGAATCTCACTTTATACATGGACATATTGAGACTGGTGCTTTCATCTATTAGACAGAATGAAAAGATATAAAGAATATTATTTAAACTTTTAAAGTTTCATCCGAGAGATAATTCCTGAAGGATTCTTAATTTTATGGACATATAGTGAGTTTTTTTTTTTTTTTAAATCATGTTTTGAGAGAGAGTTCACATGTGGGGCGGGATCATCACAAAGCTCTTGTTTTGTTACTCACGGGTGCCATCGAAGCGGGTGGCGATGGTGTCCAGGAAGGTGTTTTGTGGGGCCAGCAGCCCTCTCATCACCGGCATCCTGCTCCGGGTCGACTGGGTCCTCCTGCCGCGGCGCCCTGGGGCAGCGCTAGACTCCTGCTCGGACCCGAAACCAGGCAGGAAGCGAGAGGTGCCCGGTGCGCATCCCAGCCCCTGGAGAAGCGCACCGATCCGAGATACGCGCGGTGGCTCCACCTTGGCACCGCGGGGGTTGTGACCATAATCAACTCAGCAGAGAATAGAGAGCATTAACCGTGGGATGCACCTGTGCAGCTTCCAACTGGGGGCAGAAAAAAATGAAACCGGCGGTGTGTGTTGGAGGGAGGGGGGAGGGAAAAAAAAGCAAGAGCGCTGCTGGAGAGATGAGGATGGATGGAGAGGCGGCAAGTTTTGATGCTGATGGTGCGTGGAGTCAATCTTATAGCAGCAAGCTCCTCCTCAGCTCTCTCTCTCTCTCTCTCTCTCCCCACCTCTCTCTCTCTCTCTCTCTCCCTCTCTCTCTCTCTCTCTCTCTCTCTCTCTCTCTCTCTCTCTCTCCCCCTCTCTCTCTCTCTCTCTCTCTCTCTCTCTCTCTCTCTCCCTCTCTCTCTCTCTCGTTGCGTGGTTATCTTGCCACAACTGACAGCAGATGCAGAGTCACATGACGCCGTCCAGGTCTTGCCAAGCTGTGGTCTTGTTTCAAAGTGGACGTGGGAGACAACAAAGAGATGCTGTTTTTGGCCCCGCTCCGGTTCCCCGGTCTGGTCTGATCTGATCCGGATCTCTCGGTGTTGAAAATCAAAACCTTCGCAGGGGTCGAGGGCGTCTTCAGCTGCTGTTTGCAAGAAGCAATTACTGTTTAATTACTGCTTAAATTCCACCTTTCTGCTGTTTTTAAAAGTTACGAAATAACACAGAATGAACCACATGAGACGTTTTGATCGATTTTAAGATGTAATAATAAAAACATGAAATAAAGGAAGCGGCTGTGATCGACCCCTCTCCTCAGGACCACATGGCTCCGCGCACAAAGCCTCCGTCCTCAGTGCGCAGTGAAACTCTGCCATCTTGTGGTCACACAGCGCACGTTTACACGACTCAAACGGCCTGTGCTGTTGACGTATTAAAAATCTTGTTTAGATATTAAGTGTTCAGTTAATTATCATTTAAATTATAAAGCATGTAAAGTCTTTTTAATTTAATAAAAATGTCTTTTATCACTACAGCACACCTTTTAAAATGGTGTCCTATGTTTCCTACCAGATCTTATGGATTTAAATATTTTTATTTATTCATTTATTTGTTTATTTGTTTTCATATATTTTATAAATGCTATTTTAATCTTAATGTTCTATTTTTATGTATTTCCACGCCTCTGTAAAGCTCTGTGAACCGCCTCGTGTCTGAATGGTGCTGCAGAAATAAACTTTGAGAGCATCAAAAACCTGCAATAAGAGACGTATTATTTTATACAGTAATGGCTCTGGAGGCAACAGACAAACTGTTTCACATTTAAATTTAAATCAAAAAATGGAAGAAACATGACAGTGTTTCTCATTCGGGACTGCAGCATTTTCCTTATTCATAATTCCTTATTATTATTATTATAGTTGTTGTTGTTGTTGTTGTTGTTGTTGTTGTTGTTGTATGCCACAGACTTTTACTAAAACATCTCACCATGCAAACACACTGCCTACAACACTCCCGACCGGTCCAGTCATGTCAACTGTTTGTCTTCATGCTTTCTGTTCGTTATGTTTTCTCAGTCAGCATCTTCCATGTCACTCCTTGTTTTGTTATTTCACCAATAAAAAAAAAAAAGTGGACTTCAGTGTTTCATGATTTATCTAAAAAAGATCGTGTCTGTCTGTCTGGTCTGTGACAACAAGCTTGCATAATATTGTGCTTATGACAAATATCGTGTTGGGAGTGACGTCTCACAGCTGGCAGTCACATGATGAACTGCATTTGAGAAAAACTGTAGATCCAGTTTGTAAAGAGAGAATGTGTGAAGCTGACACTATGAGCACTATGTAGGACAGAAGTCACTCCACCAAATCACCATCAGATAACTCACACATGTTGCTCAATACTCTGCACTGTTGAACCGTGAGCTCACTTTAACGGTTTCCCTGAAGACAGCCTGAGCTGAGGAAGTTTGGTGAGCAGACACGTCTACGACCTATAATCTCCCTGCAGTTCACAGGAATGTAGCTTTAGCTTTACTGTGTCACTGTAGTGAAGTCCCTTTAAGTTGATACTGTGCTCACATTCATGTTCCTAAAAACCTCCTAATGGACACAGAGAGAACCTGGGGTCAGGCTGTTATTCCTCTGGATGGTCGACGGTGCAGGTAATGAAGCCGCCATGTGGAGTCTGCTGCCTGCACTTACACTAATGGGAACTTGGAGGTGACATGGTACAACACCGTGAGCACAGCACAGTGGGTGGAGGCTGGAAGCCTGATAATCAGACTGAATTTCCATTCCTTATTATCTCACAATATTAAATGAATTTAAATAAGTTGAACCAGACGATGTGTACAAAGCAGATTCAGTGGGGGAAAGAAATGGGCTAAAAATAGAAAATAAAAATAGAAGTGAATAAGATAAATGAGCTGGAGGTAATTTGATATTCACACCAATGATTATGGCATCATCCTTTAAAATACACAAACTGTGAGATGTAACTCTGGTTCTACTTCAGCAAACTTTATACTCTTAGGTTTGAAGTTGCCTGCTTATATTGTCACATAAAAATGTGTGTGGTTTTTACATAATTAGATTTTTTCCCTGCAGCTGCAGGATGACATTTCATGTTCACATCAAAACAAAGCAAAGCAGATGCTGCAGATAGAAGCTGTGTTGCAAAGCTTTTTTTTTATACCTAATTCAAACAGGATGTCAGAACCTCACAACACTTGTCGACGGATTATATAGCCTACATGAGTTTTTGTTCACACATCAAAACGTAATGCATGTTTTAAACACATGCCCCTCTCTCTTTTAATAACTTACAGTATTCCTGACGAAGGAACCTACCAAAGCTAATTACTCTCAGGACAACTTCAGCACAAAGCCAGGATGAAACAACTCCAACAAACAAGCACCAGACCTCTGCACAGGCTACAAACAAACTGAGGAATCTTTGATCAATTCATGTCTGAGCGGCTTTCAAACAACATCCAACTACAGGAGCCCAGAGGCCGAATCAGGCAAACATTAAATTCTACCTGTTAAAAGCAAGACAACAGTGAACAACAGCAAGCAGAGAGAGGGAGGGAGAGAGGGGGGTTGACTCACCTGTGTTGAAGTCCTCTGTTTTCCATGGTGACAAAGTGTCCATCAGTCATGTCATAACTTCCCACTGGACTTTAGAGGTTCTCCAGTCCGCATGTTCTCCAGTCCGCATGTTCTCCAGTCCACAGGTTCTCCAGTCCGCATGTTCTCCAGTCCGCATGTTCTCCAGTCCACAGGTTCTCCAGTCCGCATGTTCTCCAGTCCGCATGTTCTCCAGTCCACAGGTTCTCCAGTCCGCATGTTCTCCAGTCCGCATGTTCTCCACCCCGTCCTCTTTTTCTTCCACTCCACTCTCCACTAATGGTAGTAAACACAGGAGCTAATATCATAAGCAACGATGGAAAACTTGGTAATTTTCCCAATTCCATTTGGATTAGCCTATTAGCCTTTGTTGCTAACTTTATATCACCTCACTCATATGGAGAGAAAAAGTGCGGTGACTTCCTGTTTACTTTTTCTGACTGACTACCGTTCACTTTTGCAGCAGCGTGACGTTACTAATCAAGGTGTATCAACATCACCTGAGTTTCCTCTGACGTGTTTCCCCCAAGTGGCGCACTGCCGTGACGTCACCCCTTGGTTTGTGAACTGATGTTTTGAAGCCTCGAGTTTCGCTTAATGGACGTCGCCATCTTGGTTTTTTGGAGCCAGAAGAAACCATATTTGGATGAGAGGGTGGAGCTGGGCTAATATAGGCTAATTGCACACATCCTACATCGATTTGGCAAATATCAAATATGTGAGGAGTAACTTGTAATGTTATTGTAGTTGAAGTTAGCATGTGCGCTAACGTTAAACTGTAAAATCACAGTGTGAAACGTATTCTAACACTTCTAACAGCTTCCAGTCAAGCTGGCAGACTGTTGCTCTGTCCTCACTGAGCTATGAAGTATTATTTTACATCTCTACTATAATTTATACTTGTTACTAAATAAGATTTATCCACCTCTTTATTATGCAGACTTGTCTTGTGAAAAGTGAAGTTCACCTGTACCTTCATTCACAACTGTATTTTATTTTTAATTTGTCAGTTATAGTTGATTGTAAATTGCGAGTAGCAAAGTTTTACTTTCTCTTTTCTTAAAGGAATTTGACTTTTGGTAAAACCAAAAGAATGTCTTAAAATGTATCTGTCTGTAATTTTAATTTGTTTTCTCTAATTTGATTTAACTAACAATCCCCCCAATTCTTTTATTTATTTATTCATTTATTTATTCATTTATTTTTTTTGTCTCCATTAATCTTTAAACTATCATGGACTATTTCCCCTCATTTATTTATTTTATTTCATTTTTTATCTTTACTGGATTCTTTTTTCTATATTTTTTGTTTTGTTTTTTATTTTTTTATTTAGTATTGATCAGTGATGCCATTTGTTCATTGAAACTGTGAGAAAAAACATAAATAAAGAACAAATTAAAACAGAAAAATAATAATGTAAAATCAATGTTTACGTTTGAATTAATTCATATTTAAAACATCTCCGGTCTACGTGACGTTTTGCAGACCCCGCCCGGTAAGATCCCGCCCCTACTGCTGTGTGGGCTTATCTGATTGGCTGTTAGTGTTTTCGTCTCTTCTCTGATTGGCCAATATCTTGTGCGTGTCCAGGGAGGTGGAAGCCGGCCGGGTGTCCTCTCCTGCCGCTGCTCCCCCGCCAGTCCCAGCCCAGTCAACCTGTGGTACGGTTCACGACGTCGTTCCGCCTCCTCATCTCGTAGCTGTTTCTGTTGTGGACGTTTAAATAAAACAAGGTAGGCGTTTGAAACATGTAGTGAAACTGTTCTTACTGCGGAACCAAGTAGCGGTGACGTTCAAGGAAGTGTCATCAAGCTAGCTTCATATCTAATTTCACATCTCCCAGTTATTTTTGCTACGTTGGTTATAACACAGTCCGGACAGGAACAGGCCAATGTGAAATGACAGAGTAAAGCTAAAACGATTTGTTGTATATTCGAGTAAGTACGATTTTAACTTTAACGTCCGGTTTGTGCAGTTTTATTGAAATGAAGTCTGCACAGGGAGACCCGACATTATCTGATCTTTAAGGCCCACAGCCCCTTCCTGTTTTCATGTGTCTGTTATTCAATGGCATATTCATGTAAAGAAAGAAAAAAAACTGTTGCTTTGCATTCGTCGTCTGGATTGACAGTCTCCTCCCCATCATACGAGGATCGGCCTGTCTGCAGACTTATGTAACTTCAGCGAACATCCCCTCTAAAGGGCAGAAATCTACAAGTTGTGAAATTATCATAGCTGTTGTGCAATCCCACCTCTCGGCTGTGCATTAATGCAAACATGAAACGTGCCTCTATATGTCTTTACAGCAACATTAAAGTCATTTCTAAGTGAAAGCTGAAGCTACAGTGGACTGGTACAGGGACTGGTTAACCGTCTGCCTCGGGTCAGGGTTTGGTTGTTTAGCTCAGTTTGAGGGACTCACTCTGAAGAGGATTATGAATTCACGCTGAGTCACCGGTCTGGATACTGCTGGTGTATGTGTTGAATGAATGAATTCATTCATTCATTGAGGAAACTGTAGTGTTATGCACAGAGGAGCATAACACTACCTCAGTGTTAGGGCTGAAACTAATGATTATTTCCAGTATCAATGAATCTGCCAGTGAAATTCTCCATCAATCGATTAATCATTTCAGAATTGGTCCAGATGTGGAAGAAGCATCTGACAATCGTGCTGTATATGGGCCCGTTTCAGGCTGTGGAACTGGGTCTATACTGGGCCAGAAGACAACAAGCATGGGCCCATTTTATTTTGCCATATGGGACAAAGGACAGCAGGAAAATGTTTTCCATTATTGCCTCACAAACAACGCTAATCAGTGTCATTCATTTGAATGTCTAATGGAAAGAAGGGTTACAACTAAAACATTTTTAATATTATTGATTATTCTGATACTTTTGTCTTTACTACATTTACCACATAATGGAAAATAAAACTGCAGCTATCTTAGTAATTCATTAATTGTTTAAGCAAAAAGCTGATGGAGCCAGGATCTCAAATACAAGAATCTTCAAGCTTTTTTTGTCAGATCAAGAGTAAAAGAAAGTTATATCACATCATGAATGTATGTTATTTTAGCTGCCACTATCTCTGCTCGGTTCTCTCCTGACTCCAACTCTCTCTCTCTCTCTCTTTGTCTCTCGCCTCTGATTTATTTGTTTATCATTGTCGGTGTGTTTGTCCCCCGTGTCCACCACCAGGCTCTGACATGTCTCAGAAGATCAAGGCAGGCTCTGTGGTGGAGATGCAGGGAGATGAAATGACTCGGGTCATCTGGGAGCTCATTAAGGAGAAGCTGATCTTCCCCTACCTGGAGCTCGACCTGCACAGGTGAGGACACCTCAGCATAAAGACCTCAGGGTGCGAAGGGCAACTTTGTCTCTCGGTTGCCTCCATGTTCCTTTTGAAAAGTGCAGACTTTCTCTCACTAGAAAAACATTATACTCCCCAAATATAAATCTATATTCTGTAACTGAGTTTTTAATACACTCCTTTTTACATGAGGGGAGGGGGGCAGAAATGATTGACAGCTCCTGCAGTGCTGGGGTTTCTGGTTTGCCTTGTTTATACTGAGTTTTCTCAAGGGAAGGTGTAAAAAGACACTGATGAGAATCTCTGATAATCACAAGAATAGGGTGAGCTTGTGTGGGTTTGTAATAAATATGGGTGAAGAAAATAGAGTATACATTTCATTATTCAACATTATTCAACGACTGCAGCTAAAATGATTACTTACATTTATTGATTAATGTATATTTTTTTTTGTTTTTTGTGCTTAGTCTATAAAATGCAAGAAAATAGTGTAAAATGTTCTTCACAGTTTTGTCCAACCAACAGTTCAAAGCCCCAAAATACTCGGTTTATAATGATTTAAATAGAGAATAGCAGAAAATTCTCAGGCTGAAATCAGAATATTTGCTTGAATAATGAGTTAAACGATCAATCGATTATCAAACTAGTCGCGTTAATTTTCTGTCCATTGATTAATCGACTGATCGTTGCAGCTCTGCCATCTAAAGTTCACATACTCAAACTATTTCTCCTGGTTAAGAATTAAAAATCCAACGTCGTCCTATCATCCGATGCTTCGATCACTGATTGGTTGGTTTCCTAAACATTTGTGTAGAGAACAGTTTTATTTTCTGATAGATGACTTTGAAGATCACCACTCAAATCATTTTCCAGCGGATATTGTCCATCTGCAGCTCCACAGGTGACAGGAGCAGCCATTCATCACCTCTTATCTCTTCACGGACTTTGCTCCGGGTCGTCTGATATTTCCACGACTCTTATGTGACGTTCCAGATCACCGACGTTCCCTCATCCCCAAATCCTGAATCACATCTTCACTGTGACGTGTGGACAAACTGTCAAATAACTAAACTTTAGCCTGTTCTTCTCAGGTAGATTTGATGAATATTTTACAGCAGTTTCATCATCATTTCATGTTTCACATTGTGAAAGTTAATGATTTATTGTGCAACAGGTCTCGGGAGCGCGCGTTTGATGACATATGGTGTAATAATTACTCAACAACAGTTTCTCAATAGGGGGGGGGGGGCCGTTGTCACAGATCAGGCCACTTTAAAATCAAACAATAATCCATTTGACGTCTTGTGGAATATTTTGTAGAATAGAAAAAGCTTCTTTTTAACTTTTAAAACACTTGCAGGTTTAACTCTGCAGACTGCAGGTTAAAGGGTAATCTTTGTCATGTGCGTGTGTGTGTGTGTGTGTGTGTGTGTGTGTGTGTGTACATTTCTTGAAAGGCAGGTTTTCTGTAATGCATGAATGTGTTGAATGTGTGATACAAGATCATCACAATCAAACACACTCGTCAAGACCTGAACCTGTTTGTTTGTCCGTCCTCGGTGGTATGTCATGTATCCAGTCAGTGATCAGTTGCCGAGCGTCCCATTGTTGTGGCTTGGTGTTGGCTTTCGGGGGAAGGGGAGTTTATGTTGAAAGTGGGTAAAAGGTCATGGCTGCCTTCAAAACTAAGCCAACGGGTGCATGAGGAAGCACAGAGGCGAGTTCTTGATAAGCACAATGAGCGTCGTGTGGTTCCCAGGTGAAGTAAACTTCCTCCTCTCACTCGCCTGTTTTGGAGCTGTGAGGTTCCTCAAGTGGAACAAGTGGAGCAGGCTTTCCTCTCCTGCTGGCAGACGGCCCGTCGTTGCACAACCGATTCCTTGTTTCCTTTTGTCCTGGTGTTGCTGGCTGGTTTTTGCAGATCTCCTCCTCACTGAGGCACAAAAGAGGAGCAGACAGAGCAAAGTTTCAGCGCTGCAAAGGAAGTAGGCCACGAGGTTAATGGCTCTTCTTGATGCCGGCACAGTTTCAGGTCTTGGAAGGAGTATAATTAGCCGAGATATGGAGTGAATAAAGACATCTGAGTTATTCCCTGAGCTGTGAACAAGCTCGCGCTCTCTTTCACTTCTCATTAATGTCGTTCGTGTCCTTCAACAGAGTGATTACGGTTCACATCACAGCCGGTGTATTTAAACATTCACCGCTTCTAGCCAACTGAAAATCACTTTGAGAGCGTGGTTAGTTTGTCCTCCGGGGCGTCTGTGCCGCTGCACACTGGAGCGTAAATAATCACGTCTCCTCCTGAAACACAGAGTGTTTGTTTATGGCGCCTCGTGCCTCAGCTGCTGAGATTATAACTGGTCTCCATGTCTGCTTGGTCCACACGAATATTCACAGTTGTTGCATGAGTATATTACAGTGAATATTTTATGGGAACTGATTCAATTCTTTGGCTGATTCTTGTTTATTTCATGCTTCATTAAATATTTCCAAATCTAATCTGAATCAGGAAACTTTTCTAACCTTGAACAATATTTTACTGAGGAAAAGATATTTATTAACACTGATGTATCCTGCAGTTTGATACAGAGCAAGTTTTTTTTTTTTTTTTTTGAAAAATTATTTTCCCAAGAAAATAAAATAAATCACAAACAGTGAATATTTTTTCTTTTTTGTGAGAAAAGAAAAAAAAAGTGTTTTGTGCAATAAATAGAGAATTTAAAAATATATATATTTTTATTTCTTCCCAAAAGGAAATTCACTTGCCTCTTGTTTCTACAGAAAGAAAAACACTTAATTTGACAGATTTTGTTAAAAACCAATAAAGAAAAGATTAAGACGTTTGTTTTCTCGTGGTATCGGCACTGAACCTTAAGAATTCTGTTGGTGCAGATTTTAACATTTGATCATATTTCCAGGACATTATGGATCCATGTCTTCACTTTGACTCTGGTGCAGTTACTTCAAACTCTCTGTTCTCTGTGTCTCCTGCTGCAAAGCTACGACCTGGGCATGGAGAACCGAGACGCCACAGACGACCGGGTGACGGTTGAAGCGGCGGAGGCGGTCCGCCGCTTCAACGTGGGCATCAAGTGCGCCACCATCACTCCAGATGAGAAGCGAGTGGAGGAGTTCAAGCTGAAGCAGATGTGGCGCTCGCCCAACGGGACCATCCGTAACATCCTGGGAGGCACCGTGTTCAGAGAGGCCATCATCTGTAAGAACATCCCCCGCCTGGTGCCCGGCTGGATCAAACCCATCATCATCGGCAGACATGCACATGGAGACCAGGTGCCACATTTCCCTGTGTTTTTATTTTGAAGTGTTGATCCACCAGAAGATATAAAAACCATCTCAGTGTAGTTTTACATCTCCTCTCTCAGGCTTCTCTCTGCAGCTCTAGTAACAACAGGTCGGTGAGCCAATCAGAAGAGAGGAGGCTCTGAGCCTCTCTGTTCATTTTATGTCACAACACTGAGTAATGAGGCTTCATTAGTAGTTTTTTCTGCTGTATATTCTCATGTCAGAAGTGCTGAAGTTGTGGATAATAAATAATAGATTATGTTTCACTATATAAAAGCTGAACACAACATTTACAGCTAAACACGGCCGAGAGTTGAATTACTCCTCTCTGGTCTAAACAGAGGGTGTGATGCGTGATGTGAGGATGAAATGATCCTGATCTGAAGGGAACTAAAAACTAAAAGGAGCAACCCAAACTGTGTAGACGTTATGAATACGTGAAAAGAAGCTTCCACCAACTCCCTCCATCACTCTGTCGGCTCATGTATGAGCTTGGTGAGTCGCAGTCGTGTCAGACGTTGTGGGGACGTCAGCAGAGACCACATCAATAATTGTATTCCCTTAAGCCGCACTTCGGACCATAATGCACTGCACCGCCTCTGCAGCGGGACAAGTTGCAGCAGCGTCACAGAACTAGAAACACAGGGGAGCTCGAGGCACTTTGCCAAAGTCAACGGTTAGTTCAGGAGGAAGCTTTATGTTAATCACCCTGCTGACACTGTATCACCTGACACTTCCAGTCCTGCTCAGGTGTTTACGGCTGTCTTGTTACTGTCATTTGAACTTTGGTCTAACGCCGTATTAGAGGACGGGGGTCGGTCTCATCAAACAGCCTTGTGGCTCTCTTGTATTAACCCTTTGTCTCTCTCACTGTGACAGTACAAAGCCACAGACTTTGTGGTGCCCGGGCCTGGGAAAGTGGAGATGACCTACACGCCCACCAGCGGAGAGCCAGTTAAATTCGTCGTGCACGAGTTCGAGGGTAAGAACAGAACCGGCTTTAAACACAAGCCAGGAGGTAAAGTGGGTCAGGAGAGACGCACAACGTCACAGGTGTGCAAACATACACACATCAGTGTTTAATGAAGAATATCCCAGAGCAAAGATGTCAGCTATCATAATGTAGAAGTGTAATGGAGTGTCAGTCAATATGACCGAGCTGGACTGGCACCACGGACAAACTTTTACAAGCTCATTTTCCCTTGTGTTCATATCGTAAACAGGAGAATATAAGATATGGCTTATCTGTCATGTTGTAACGACTCACCTGCTCTGGTTTTATCACCTGAAACAAACACGGAGTTGAGTGAACGAGATTTTCAAAGGTTGAGTAATTGTTCAAACACAAGAATCACAACTCATTGAACATGACCAAATGTTTTGTGAACTTAAAAGTGCTCAGATTCAACAGTGTGTGGTCACATGACCAATTTCATCCTTGGTGTTGCCTAGAAACAAAAATCACCCGGCTCCCCCCTGCTGAACACAAAATAACGAACACAATCACACAAGCAAAGTTTTGCATCCAATATTCATGACGCTGTTGCTCAGTGTGTGTGAACGATGCTTTGTGTGTGTGTGTGTGTGTGTGTGTGTGTGTGTGTGTGTGTGTGTCCAGGCACAGGGGGTGTGGCCTTGGGGATGTACAATACAGACAAGTCCATCAGGGACTTCGCCCACAGCTCCTTCCAGATGGCTCTGACCAAAGCCTGGCCGCTCTACCTCAGCACCAAGAACACCATCCTGAAGAAGTACGACGGCCGCTTCAAGGACATCTTCCAGGAGATCTACGAGAAGTAAGGACGGTCGCACACACACACACACACACACACACACACACACACACACACCTCTTCTGTCCCTCTACACACACTCTGCCAGATGTAGATCACAACTTAGACGTGTTGTCCGCCCTCTCGTGTGTCCCAGGGAGTACCGCGCTCAGTTTGAGGCCAAAGGCATCTGGTACGAGCACCGTCTGATCGACGACATGGTGGCCCAGGCCATGAAGTCCGAGGGAGGCTTCATCTGGGCCTGCAAGAACTACGACGGAGACGTCCAGTCTGACTCTGTGGCACAAGGTTGGACATGTAAAGAGCTCAGAACCTTTAACAGCTAATCAAAGATGTTCTTATCTTAATGTGTGACTGTGGTTCAGGCTACGGCTCCCTGGGCATGATGACCAGTGTGTTGATCTGTCCCGATGGACGCACAGTGGAGTCCGAGGCCGCCCACGGCACAGTGACCCGCCACTACAGACAGCACCAGCAGGGGAAAGAGACTTCCACCAACCCCATAGGTAGGAGAAAAGGTTCATATCCCTGGGCGTTCAGCACCTAGCCAAACATATGTCCTTACACTGTGTGTGTGTTTTGCTGCAGCCTCCATCTTTGCGTGGACGCGGGGTCTGCTCCACCGGGCGAAGCTGGACAACAACGCAGAGCTGCGAGTGTTCTCCGAGGCGCTGGAGGCCGTTTGCGTCGAGACCATCGAGGCCGGGTTCATGACCAAGGATTTGGCGATCTGCATCAAAGGAATGCCAAAGTCAGTCCCTTCATGATCTGTCACTCAGTTTATGTGTCTGCGTTCCTGCTGGAAATGTCTGCAGCAAAGTGATTTATTCATTAAAAGTAATGTGTGCATGCTTTAATTCTCTATGATGGACAGAGGGCCGATCACAGCAAGCAGGTTGTTCTGGAATTAAAGAATATGTCTGTGCCTAACAACAAAGAGACACAAACAGCCCAGTTCACCCATCACAGTTCTGCTCGTCTGGCTGTTGCCTTCTTGTGTTTTGAAGGAGCTGCACGTCTGCAACATGTACAGATGTCTGCAAAAGTTTGGGCAACTATATTTATAAAAGTTTTGTTGATTGTGAAGTGAAAAGAAGTAAACACCTCGAAACCCCTGCAGCAAAGTGACATTTAAAACTAATGCAACTTTTTATTTCGAGACATTAATTAAGCACGGGGGTGGAGATATTCTTTGTGGTTGTTTGGGAAACATCATGTGACAGAGGGAAGAATGGATTCCTCCAAATATCACAAGGACAGATCTGCAGCGACGTAACGGCACAAATCACAACGTTAGATCTTTTATATTATGAGACCTAAATACATTTCTGGTTCATTATGAAACAGTGGACAAATTCAGTCTCAGTGATGAATGGGAAACACTGTGGCACACTCCGCTCGTGCGCCCTAACGTGGTTACCTGTGTTAGTAACGCTCCGATGTTCGCTCCAGGTGTAAGATCCAGACTAAAACATCTCAACTGTGAAGTGATCTTCACGTTCGTGCTCGTGGTGACTCTCCAGCTTAAAGTGAATGACATTGTTCCACTGTGCTACTGTGTAAGGTTTAAACCTGACTGACAGATCGGCGGTGAATTATAAATTATAAAACATAAATTATAAATTTGTTTTGTGAAACTATCTGCCCCACTATCAGGGTTTCCAGCTATTTTTCTGACAGTATCTTCACATAACCGGTGTGTTTGTGTAAAATTGACGATAACTCCTGTTTAACCTCGACTATCTCAGTCACACCACAGGAAATAGAATCAGTACCTTTCCTCAGTAAAGTTGAAGTGTCCTCAGTGCTGTCCCGTCTCTCCCTCTGTCCGCAGTGTGACTCGTGCCGACTACTTGAACACCTTTGAGTTCCTGGACAAGCTGGCAGACAACCTGAAGGCCAAGCTGTCCAACCCGCCCAAGCTGTGATGTCGCCTCTGCAGCCTCAACACAGACACAAACACATTGAAAACACATGCCTCACGCACACAGAGACGTCTACACAGCGACTGGAACTAACACTGGAGCGGGGAGGAGCGAGCCCACGACTCCAGGAGATGAAGTCATTCCTAAAACACCGGGGGGGGGGGGCACATCCCTGTTTACTAGACGAGAAGCCGAACCTGTGACAGAGAGAAAACACAACTCCAACATTAACAGAGTCCAGGAGCATCACTGGACGCCACCTGCGACCTTGTTTACCCTAATTGCACTAGGTCCCCTGTGAAGTGAGCGTGGGCGTGTGTCGTCAGTATTTGTCATGTGATCTGTGCTAGACGGGGGACAGCATTAGTCCGAGGGGAGAGACTCGAGACCCTCACTGCCTTATTCGTTTTGTGTCACTCTGATCGTGTCCTACGTCTTTGTCATGTTTTAATAATACCTCAGACGGCATCACGTGTTTTAGTGGCAGGTAAAAACCCACAGCATCAGCCTGTAGTTCACTAATGACTCCTCTCAGTGTGGGAGCAGAGACCATGTGATTTTACTGTTGCATCATGAAACACATAATACATGGACGGACTCATTCATAGGAATCAAGCATCACTTTTAAACAAATTCAGACTACAACACTATATAAGTTTTTGTATTAACACAGCTGGTAAAGAAGTGTATTTATTTGTCCTTCCTTCGTGTGTGTGTGTGTGTGTGTGTGCGTGTGTGTGTTGATCAGTATCCAGTTTGTCATCAACACATATCCTGCCAAAATGTCTGCATCACATTCTCCATCTGGTGGTTTGTGATCAACACTATGTTCATTCCTCTACGACTCATAATAAACGAGTTTTTGAAGAAATGTGTGTCGTTCTTTGAGCAGAGCTGGATTCAGACTGTGAGGCGTTCAGGTTCATTGATAAGCTTGTACTTTAAAATCAGTGGTTTTATGCAGACTTTATGATAAACTGAACTCATCCAATAATTGTATTGATTGATGACATTATGTACAGTGTGTGTTGTGTTGCAGTACCAAGTTGCTCACCACTAGATGTCTCTCTTGGCCTAGTTTTCTATATGGGCCTTTAAAGTACACAGAACTCAACTGAAAATGCAGAAGAAGAGCACAAAACACAAACATACAAATAATAAAACACAAACAGCAAAAGACAAAGAATTAGGGCCGCAACTAATGATTACTGTCATTATCAATTAACCTGAGGATTATTGTCTAAATTAATCCCGAAACAGTGGAAGATCAGGTGACATCATCAACATCTAGTTTTATTTCACATCGTCCAAACACCCAAAATATTTCATTCAAATCCACATATTTAATCCAAAAAATTGCAGATTGAGGTTGTTCAGTTAGACAAACAATAATAACAACAATAAAACTCAGTGATCAGCACCGGATCATTTAACACTCATGGTCAGGTTTCAGGTCTGTGGGTGAGGAGTTCCACATATTGATGCCCCAAACAGAAAAATAGCTGGGAACCCTGACAGTGGGGCAGATAGGCAAATCAATTGTCCAATTTGCCCCATTTCTCCATTATAATCATGTATATCTTTGCCTTAAATGCATTTTTGTTCTAATTAAGATGCTTATTCGCTGCTGTGGCTGTGTAACATAGTTTGTTTAGGTGACTGCAGCCCCCACCATATCCAAATGACGTAACACACTGGTGGTTGAGTCCTTGCATTTTACAGCTTTATGAACTAAATCACAAGGTTAGTGACATGTGTCCTTTCACCCAGGAGGCCTGACACATGACACGTGGTTCAAAAAGAAACCTGCAGTTCCCATGTGTCGCCACAGATGCCGCCAACGATCACAAAACGGAGATGCTCAAAATTGCTACTTTAACTTTACTTTATGGTTGAGATATATATGACGTATGCAGGACAATTAAGATAATCCGATATCATTTGAATCTGACTCTTCATTTCCTTTAGTTTTCACGTCCTCTGTTTCTCCAGCAGAGGGAGCTGTTGCATTAAAACCTCCCACTGTGCTGTGTGGTAGGATCACTATACATCTGATCAGGAGACGAGTAGGTACCCTCACTATAGCAGCTGCCCAGCACTGAGGACTGAACCGGCCCGACTACTTCAGTGTGTGAAGAATGGATCCTTATCAGCGCCAAAGAGACCGAGGCCCCCCCCGGAGAAACACTCACCTGTCAGAAGGTGCATCAAACATTCCTGCTATTGATCAAACACCTGATACTCCGGACTCAAATAACGCACCGGACAGCGGAAATCCACCTGCGACAGACAGACGGCCTCAGTAGTGAGTAAAAGTTGTGTTTCATCAGAGTCCACGTGAAGTCTGACTCACTATTCAGACGTAAACACAGGTCGTTTTGTTTTTTTAATATTCACTCTTCAAGTCTCAGACCAGGCTGTTTGTTTTGTTTACGTTTTCATTTACGTACGTTTTCTGTATGAACAGTGAATCGCTGCTGTTTCCTTTCACTTTCGTTTCACGGAATTAGAGAGAGAAACGGTGCCTTCACAGTTTCCCGTAAATCCCAACACTTTGTGCCACCGAACGTTTTATCACAAAACAGAACAGAAGCTGTCAGCGTCCCTGTGTGTTTCCCAAAAGGAAAATAAGAAAACACGTTAATGATTTCAATTATATATTATAAAATATAGGTTACTAGAATTTAAAAAAAGAAATATTTATATTACTGACTTTAAAACAGTACTATCATTTTGCCCAGCTCTATATTAATAAACAATATGCACTTAAAAGTAAAGTGTGCACTTAAGTTACAGTATTTACACTGATCACTTTTATGTGATTATGATAAACAGTAGTAACATGAGTAATTTACTTTAGTCCCATCTCCCGTGAAGGCAGCACCATATTGGGATTATTATTGACAGTTGATGTGAGGAGCATTTTAGTGTTGAAGGAGGTGCAATTAATTCTAACAGCTTTATACCTGAGGGGCAGTTTAACAACTTCTAGACAACTTTAACAAACTTTATCTACTTAAATATGAGATATGTAACAACTGTTGTATACTGTACTGTTTTGCACTATTGCTGTTACCAAGTGCTTTAATTCATACATATTTATATTTAAATATAGTTTTACTTTTTTTTTTTTCAAATGTTGAATCCTAATTAAACATCTAAAAATACTCAAGTGCAAGTACAAGTGCTGTCAACCACATGCTGTTATTTAAAACGCAAAAAACACAAAAACAACAAACTTAAACTTCTCAAATGCAGCAGTGTTTAATTTTGCTAGAATTTTGCCTAAATAGGCCATAAAATAAGTTATAATATGATTATAACAAGAAATATGTGAGTAGAAAAGTATTTAAACCAATCACTCTGCTCCAACTCTGTGTCTGTGTCCTCGTCTCAGCTCAGGTGGATTCACCGTGATCCCACCAAATGAATCTCGGCGAAGCAAGATGCAAATGAGTACACTGCTGCAGCTTTCTTCTATCTTACTTATATTATTTTCATCCTCGTACATGTTTGAAATTTCTCTCCAGAGTAATTAAGGTTTTTTTTTTGCTGTTGCAGTGGCTCAAAAAGAGGAGGAGGAGCTGCAGAAATGGAAAGAGACAAACAGAGTCTCTTCTGTGCACGTGAATCCACAGAGGCTGGGTAAAAAACGTCCTCAATGCAAATGATCTTTAACTATCTGTATCACGTCATTCATTATTATTAATTATGCTTACGTACTGATGTGATGTGGTGTAACCTGTTGTTGAAGGTGGTGATGTAACATTGGCTGAAGCCAGACAGAAGCAGCTTACAGACCTGCGTTGCTCCAAACTTCAGAAGAAGGTATTTACTCGCACACGACAGAAACTTCACGTTCGTTCGTTCATTCAAATCACAGGCGGCTTTGAACATATTTGAATATATTTTGAATTTACAGACTAAAGTATTTGCATCAGCTATTTCCCATCAGTCTTTTGTCGTCTACAGAATATGACAAGACCCTGACGATCTGTGATTCATGATATTTGTAATGCTGCTGGTCATTTTTGCAGATGTTACAAATTTAATTTGCTCTGGGAGAAATTTAAAGGAACTTTATCAAGCCTTTGAGAGGAGATGGAAATTCTCAAAACTTTGGTTTGACGTCAATAAATTGTCTCTTAATATAAAGAAAACTAAACTTATGTTTCTTGGAAATCGACATACAGATGTTGAACTAAAAATCTGAGACGTTGAAATTGAAAGTTTTGATCATAAATGAACATGGAAACAACATATTGATTATAAAGGAGAAAAAATATCCAGGTCATTAGCAATCCTGTATAAATCTAGGGATATGTTACATTATAAGGCCTTGTATTTAATTCACTGCACCTTTAAAAACAAGTATAAATTCAATAGTCTTACAACAGAAACGAGCCATACGTATTATTATTATTAATAAGGCTGGTTTATAAGACACTAATCAATTGTTTTCTACATTCTCCTGCTATGAGAATTTGCTGTCTATATTACTGATATTAACAGAAACCACATTTCAGATGCAGGGAAATATTTCAGAGAGTTACTTTGTACTTTTCCTTTAACATATTAAATGTAAACTGTCGTGTCCAGCTGAGGCAGGAGGAGCAGGACAGGAGGAGGAGAGAAGAAGAGGAGGCCAATCTGCAGAGGAAGAAGGCCGAACAGAGGCAGAAGGTGAGAGCAAGATTAAACCAACAAGAATATGTACTTTGGCCTTTTAGCAGAAACATTTTATATGTGTTTAGTTAAGTATAAAAATGACCTTAAATCACTCACCACCCCTTCTACTTCTATTTTAATTATCTTTAACAACAAAGCATTCAAATCTAAGAAAAATCGACCATTAAACTCACTTTTATAATGGGGAGTTATTTTACGATGAAGTGATAATTGACTGGTTTGGCGCCTCCTCTAATCTGTTTCTATTTCAGTCAGCGCAGTGATTTCCTGTATTTCCCAGAGTGCTCTTTGACAAAGCCCAGAGTCCCGCGTCAGGAATGTACTGGGTGGAGAGTGGAGGTGGAGAGAGCAATAGCAGCTGCAGTAGTAAGAGCAAGAGAGTGAGAGCTTTCCAGTAAAGAGTTGCACCACTCACTCAGAACATAACGGGTGTCTCGTGGCTGCAGTGCATTATGGTCCGTGAGATCAGCAGGAAAAAAAAACATCAAATCTCAGGCTTTTTCTAATTGTTGAATGTTGATGAAGAGTTCATGAACAAAACTGTGAGAGCAGAAATGCTAAATTTAGCAGAGTTGAGTCTGGATTTGTGTAGAACAGTGGCGTCATCGTATCTCTGCGAGCTTTACGAAGGGCGACTGGACGATCACCAGGTTCTCGGGAGACGTTTCTCCTCTCGGCTTCCTCAGTTCCTCAGTCAGTGGGGAGCGCCAAGCATTTAACTTCCTGTGGGAACGTTAACACCTGGACGGTCTTTTAAGTGGTCCAGCCACTTAATTATGTACACCTGCAATAAACCAGCCCTGCTTTAACATCTACTGTACCTTTATAAGGTTAACATCAGTTTTTGTTTGTAAATTCAATCATATGTTTATAATCGAGGTCGTATTCAAAGGTGACGTCTATACATGAGGTGGACAGAATATTAGAAACATCTCCTCTTATTATAATGGAGTCCAGTAACCATGACGATTAGATAAAATTCAGGCAGTTTGTTTTTTCATTTTAAACCAAAAACCAAAAAAACATCTGACTTCAGTTTTTTGTTTTAAACCAAAACCAAACCACAAAAAACATTACACTCTTTTACTTTGAAATACTTACCTTCTGTGCCACCTTCAAATCAACAAGGAAAAAAAAAAAAAAAAGGGAATTTGTAAACACCAAAATTTCAAAAACACAGTTTCTTCCAATTTGATGTTCTCATTTTTCATTTTTAAAACATGTAATTCAATCAACTCTTCTATGACAGAGTCGATAAAACCTTAGCGGCATTATAAAAGTCGACTCTGTGGCAGGTCAGCTGTGTTGGATGGTGTACCTAATAAAGTGGCCACTGCAACTAAAGAAAACAATCAAATGAAAAAAAAATCTCAATACTTACAGCAAATATCGTGGTAAGAAGATGTGCAGCCTGCATGACAACCACTTCCCTCAGTGATGAGCAGTACCATGTTCAGCCTCCAGGTGTCAGTAGAGACAAGCCTCCACCTGAGCTGCAGCTGAGCTCTGGTGGCCCGGAGCGGAGTCTTCCCTCACACACCCAACATTAAACCAATGACAACCACCTGATTAATGGTCTCGTGGGTTTCCAGCCACCACAGACGGCTCCTCACCGTGTTCTCAGACATGTTCTACTCCACGTCTGGATCCCGGCTCTCAGTCTAATAGTGCTTAATGGACTGCTGCAGGTGATGTGGAGGTGGTGATTAATGCTGAAGACCAAAGCGTTATTCCACAGGCCCTTTTCCCGTTGCGCCATGACCTCTGCGAAGCCGTAGGAATGTCTCCGTAATCCGGCAAATAAACAGATGCATGTGAAACAGCCTCATCGCGGTCTACAGACGTGATCTAACCGGAGGCCGGCGAAGACAGAAACCCGTCCTCACCCACTTCGGTTTGGGATACAGGGGCAGTTAAATACCAGGTGGAGAATTATGAAGTGTCTGAACCACAAGGACTGAGCATACTTCAGATGACCCTTGCTCCCAGACTCAGCCCTCGTCTTTATCTGGTATCGTGGAGATGTCCCGTTTTAACATAAATACTGTAGCAGCCCAGGTGGTCGGGCTGCACACGTCAGACGTGCCGGAATGATAACAACATGATCTCAAAATCAAAATGAAACACGTTTGACTTCAGCCAGCATTTCATCAAAGTTGGAAAATGGGATTCAGTGATAAATAAAGGTGTCGTCTTCTCAAACAATCATTCTTGGTTCTTTCCCAACTCGTTCCTCAGTAACCGCTCACATTTTTGTTTCAAGTGTTACCCGAAATGTTTTTTCACATGTTGTAAAATACATCTCCTGACATGTCCCTATATGGAGGACCAGGGATGACACAGGAAAAGTTATAAAGCATTTCCTTAATTTCATATTTAATAGGTATTAAAAATAGGAATTGTAAGAAGAATTTATAAATGAATGATTAATCCATCAATAAATACTTCAGATTGAAAAATGGATTTACAAAAACACTCATTAAATAAACCCTTTATAAATACAGTAAATAATAGAACTTGAAAAACTATTTGAATAGGAATTTTAGAAATGGGAATACAAGCCTGGATTCCCTCTTTAATTTCCAGCTGCCTTTCCTTTTCCTATTAGCTCATCGATTAGCTTAGTCATGTAGCCTTTACGTGACACTCTGGGCCTTCAGAGCTGGTTAAACCCACAGTCAATGGAGAGTTTGAAGCCGTTTTTGTAAGTATTTGTTGATAGATTAATCCTTCAGTTATAAAATCTTTTTACAATTCCTATTTTTAATGCCTTTAAAATATGAAATTAAAAAAACGCTTTATTACTTTCCCTGTGATACCCCTGGTCCTCCATACTCTTAGAGACTTTTTAAAATAAATTTGACTGTCTTACAATCAATCGTTAGTTGTATTTTAAAAATAACTTGTTTATACTATTATAAACTTGTTATTACAGTGCATCAAAATACTACAATTATTATTGCAACTATTGCAGCCCATGCACTGTGCTGTAATGTATATATGTTGAATGCATGGCTGGTAACTCAGGTCTGTCCTAGCGCTCACTGCAGCATCATTACGCCCAGTGATCAGTGAGATAACTTCAGGACTTGCTGTATGTGGTGGCTGCATGCCATGTATCCTGTGTGTGTGTGTGACTGCCGACTATGATGCATTACAGGCTGAGCGCCTGGAGGAGAGGAGCCGACAGGAGGAGCAGAGCAGGAGGGAGCAGTTCAGGCAGGATCACCTCAGGTCAGCCCTGGATCAGGTTCACCTGGGTCTCATCACTGTCACCGTGCGGTGTTGTGTTGTGTTGTTTTTTTTTTGTGTTGTGTTCTTTCTTGCTCTGCAATGGATCTCGGTTATAGATGTGGCATCGGATGACACGATCTTCAGACCTTTACAAAGGAAGCGCCCGATGTCTGACCCTCTGCTGACCTGTAATTATCGCTGGAGTTTTATCAAGACGCATCTTCTGTTGGCAGAGAAAGAAGAAGCAGAGCGGATTAGTTATAAATATCAGGCGACATGAGGTTCACCTCTAGTTTACCTATTCAAACGTAAGCTAAGCTGTAAGCAGCTGGAGTGCCTGTTTTTTGTCAATGTAAGGATTTCCAGGGAAGACTTTGATGAACAGGCTGTGATGTTTTTAAAGATGGATGACAGAGACTGAATAACCAAGATAAAAAGAGATTAAGAGACAACCATGCTAGCAGCTCTCTGAGGCTGTATTTTGGTGTTTTGAGCTAAATGCTAATGTCAGCAGGGTCACAACATTTAACATTCTAATATTTTAAGCATGTTTAATATTTACTATCTTAGTTTAGTGTGTTAGCATGATAGCATTTGCTAATTAGCTCATTGCCATTAGTTTTGCATGTGCTTGTTCATAAACCAAAACATGGGACAGATTGAAATTTTGATCTGATGAGCTGGATGAAAAGTCAAGTCATGGATCACCAAAGTTATTACAATGCATCCAGAGGAGAACAAGTACATCCGCTCAAACATTCATAGAAATCCAACCAATTGTTTTTGTGGTATTTTAGTCCAGATCAAAGTTGTGGACTGACCCCCATATCGACATTACCTTAAAGGTCTCATCCAGTGTAAAGGTCTGTGTCCATGTGTAGTGTGATTATAGATCAGGTCTAGCTTCTATATTAATACTGTGAAAGTATCAAAGCCTCAGTCCACAGAGAAATGCACACAGCCTGTATTCAGAAACTGAGCCTTAAAACCAGCCGTCAGGACTTCTGGAACTTTGTGATGTCACAACAAAGCAGTCACCAAGCCCCGCCCACCTGGACCCACCATCCAAACCTTGCAGGATTTGGTTTCTCTGAGTGTTTTTACCTGAAATCTGCTATATTTTTATTGGATCAGTCAGAAAACGGTCAGCCAATCAGAAGAGAAGCTCAGAGCCTCCTCTCTTCTGATTGGCTCACCGACCTGTTGTTACTAGAGCTCCAGAGAGAAGCCTGAGAGAGGAGATGTGAAACTACACTGAGATGGTTTTTGGTTTTACAACCACAAATTTGACAGGGTCTATTGTTAGCTGGTCTTTTCTAACTCAAGAGCCATAGAGAACGTTGTACAACTGTTTCCATGTGCTGACTTTAATATGTAAAATCAGTGGAATACCCCTTTAAAGCGGTTCAGTGTTTTGGATACTGCATCGGACACTTTATTATATAGTGAGGGGTCTGCTGTCTGAATATTATGCATGGCTGACTCTGAGGGAGATTGTTTGTCTAGTAGCATGTCTGGCTTCCTGTCAAGATAAATACAAGAAGGAGACAGCAGACCAAATTTTGAACCTGAAGGAACAATGAAGAGATTTGGACAATGGGGATGGAATGGGACAGCACAGCAGACCAGAGGCTTGTGAGCAGGGGGAGCAGTGTCAGAGCGGGACAGACAAACTTGGTCAACCTTGTGGGACTGTCAGCATCCCAGGCCTGTGGAGTGTCTGTGGAGGAAACAAAGACTTCCTCATTATTTTCTGTGTGTTTCCATGATTTATGCGAGAGCCAGAGCCAGAGGCATTGTGTTTTAAGGTTGTCCGTAAGTCCGTCTCATTCTCATGGACGCCATATCTCAGTAACGCCTTGACGAAACTTCTTCAAATTTGGCACAAAAAAACATTCACTTGGACTCGAGAACAGCCTGATTGGAATTTGGTGGTCAAAGGTCAAGGTCACGGTGACCTCTCAAAACACAATTTTTGCTTGTGAACGCAATATCTCTAGAACTCCTCAAGGGAGTCCCTTCAGAATTTGCACATATGTCCTCTTGGACTCAAAGACATACTGATTAGACTTGGTGGTCAAAGGTCAAAGGTCAAGGTCAGGGTAACCTCAGAAAATACTTTTTAGCTATTACTCAGGACTTCACACAGCAACTATAACAAATCTTCACATGAATGGTTCATATGTTCTCTGACTCTGGATAAACAGGGATGTAACCTGAAACTAGTCTGAGTGGCGGAGGGATACGACCGCGAGGAGGTGATTCTTGTCTTTTTTTAAAATGTGTGACTGTGTATTTGCTGCAGGGCAAAGGCGAGTTTTCTGCAGAGGTTTGAGAGGAGCGCCCCACGTCCACTGGCATCCAGCAGTGCCACACACACGTCATCCAGGGTGAGCCAGCAACCACAGAATGTGTGTGTGTGTGCGTGTGTGTGTGTGTGTGCGCACATGTTCCACATGTTTTGTTTGTACACACCGCACTCTGTGCATCAGCGTGTGCATGTCGACACAGCATGTATGCACACATATGGTCCCGGGGTTCGGCCTTGAAGTCTCAGGTCTGTGGCTGTGGGGTCGGAGACTGAAGCTCTGTGGTAGTTCACACCGATGGATCCGTCGTTCTGAGCTGTTTTCTGAGTAAATACTCTCGGGTGCGGAGTTTTCATCATGCAGGGCAGCGCGGGTATTAAGCAGTATCCCCGCTTGGCCGGGTGGGGTGAGGAGCCCGATCCCCCTGCAATTATCTCCTGGTCAGAGCCGGGGCACACAGCAGTACAGCAAGCTCACAGCTGAGCAAAAGGAAGTGTAAATACACAGAGGAATAGGCCACTGCTTTTTTCCTCCCTCCGTCTTGCCTCTTAAATGTTGTCTGTCTGCTCCTTTCACTCTCCTTTGTTTTCTCTGCTTCCTTTTCTCTTTTTCTCAGCCTCTCTTCCTCTCTGTCTGTTTGCCTTCCCTGGGAGGGATTGAGTGGAAGGCTAGCAGAGTTCAAGGGACTTCCCAGAGTTCACACTGAGACACAACATGACGATTGCGAGGAGAGAACAGAGTGGAATAACCTGTCCTAGTAAAAGTACCTGGAGGAAACCCAAGCTCCTCGTCGACCAGTCGCATGCCTTTTGTCAGTCAAAGGGGGGCAACCACTTGTTCTTATTGTGAATAACTTTTCCTTTTAATCACTGTTCTGTTTTGGGGTAATTGCTGCCATTAATCTTGAAATCAAAACGCCTTAAATGTGAGGAGATCACAGCTATTCTTAGCACACCAAACATACGTTTATTGGAGAGTGATGACAGCTTCTGTCGGAAAGTCAGACACAGTGCTAACGGCGTCTGCGCTCCTCCACCCAGCCTGTCAGTGATGTTACACCAGAGGAGGAGAGAGCGAGCAGGAAACAGCCCGAGGACACACTGTATCCCTCACTGCACTCTGCATGTGGTGACTGACGGCGATGTTTAAACTGCACACGCAGCTCCCTCGGTGGACACAGGAAATGTTTTCTTTCAGGGCTTTTCTCATTGTCCTGCATTTCTTTTCTCTCTCTCTTTTTCTCACATAGACCTGATGCAAATCTCTCACCAGGCAAGACGGTGGTGGAGAGAGAGAGAGAGAGAGAGAGAGAGAGAGAGAGGGAGAGAGAGAGAGAGAGAGAGAGAGAGACCTAGGGTCAAACTGTGGTGTAGGAAGAAAGAGAAAGCAGTCAGTTACAGTAATAAAGAAGTCTCTGTTTTATGGTGGGACACACACAGTGAGACACAGACAGGCTGAGTGGATGATAGAGTTCAGTTGATGACACCAGGGTCACGGCCGGCAACAAAGACTCACCTCTTCCTGCTTTCCCGCCTTCTCATATCACTCGCCTCATCTCATCTCATCACCTCCTGTCTCCTCTTGTTTTGTCTTCTCCTCTCCTCTCGTGTCTTTTCCTTGCCTCTCCTACATTCTTTCCCTCACCTCTCCCTTCCTCTCCTCTCCTTTCCTTTTTCTTTCCTTTCTTTCCATTCTTTCCTGTCCTGTCTAGTTTCATCTCGCCTCATTTATTTCCTTTCCTCTGTCTTATCCTCTGTCGCCTCGTCTTCCCTTGTTCTGTCTCCTCTTCTCCTGTCTTTTCCTCTCCTTGTCTCCTCTCCTCCACTCCTCTCCTCTCCTCTCCTCTCCTCCTCTCCCAGGCTGCAGCTCTCTCAGTTAGACGTCACAGATTAGGAGATAAAAGCTTGCGGCTGCGAAGCAGCAAAAGTCGGACTTCTTGATGTGGTTCTGACCGGGACCCTGGGATCTGTTGTTCTTTCAGCATTGGCTCCATAAGACAGATTGATCTCTCCTTCATATCCTCTATTTGTGGGCGTGTGTGTGTGGTGTGTTTACATGTGTGATGTGTGTGCGAGTGGGAGATTTTATGCTAAGCTTTGATGGGATCGCAGAGCTCCTTCTTCCTCTTGTGCCATACTAAATAACCCCCTCCCTGACCCATTAGCTCTCCTGGGGCAGGAAAACAGACGGAGGACGGAGGGTAATGGAGGGTGAAGGTGTACGTGGGTTTGTTTTTTCTAAAGGAGGAGAAAAAGAGTTATTTTCATTGAGTGATATTTGAGTTTTCTCAGCTACAGACTCATCGACAACATTGTAAAGATCTCAGAAAGTTGTTTTCCATCTGAAAAAATCAAAACTAACATACAGGAAGTCTCACTAATAACAGAGGACAAAAATAAACTCATTGACCTTCTACCTCCTTTGTTTCCTTCCGTTACTCATCTCTCTCTGTTTTCATGTTTTGAATATTTTTCAGCTGCTGGTATTGCTGCTATTTTGTTCACACCTTTAAATTCCTGAAGCATATTCTGTTTGTCATGTTCTGTTGATACCTATTGAATATATTTGTTTTTAATGTCTATAACTATTTTCTGTTGCAATGTTTTCATTTCTTCACTTTGATCATTAGAGACTGATCGTGGAGTTTTACATAAACAAACTTAACAAGAGTTATCTATCCTTTCAGCTTTACTCATTGAAACCCATTGTGTGTTTCCTGAGAAACACTTGAATGCATTTCCTTCCCCATAAAATACCTGCATTGTGTCATAAGAACTGGCTCACACTCTTCTTCTTCTTCCCTGCCTCTGTCGGCTCATTGCTGCATTTTTTGGTCCATCACCACCACCTGTGGATCAGTGGAATAACATGAAACCATTAGCAGGAATGTAGATGGCGTCACCTGCGTGCATGTGTGTATGCAACCTTGTGTGCGTGCATGACACAAATTAAATGCAAATGACTCATTGAGAAATTATTTGATCGTGCCGCCAGAGGTCAAAAACTCTACAGGTTACCTTTAAGGCTAGAAGCAGAAATATACAGGAGGCAGTTAAACGTGAGGAGAAAGATAAAAGAGAGAGAGCAGCACCTGCATTCACACTCATTACCGCCTACTAACACTGAGTGTACAACCAAGCTAGCAGCCCCAATGTCAACATGCTAATATGCTCACAATGGCAATGCTAGCATGCTTATGTTTAGCCGGTGCGATGTTCACCATCTTAGTTTAGCGATTTAGCAATGCTAACATTTGATAATTAGCACTAACCAAAGTACAGCCGAGGCTGATGGGAAGGTATTTTGCAGGTATTTGGTCATAAACCAAATCACTGGACAAGTTAAAAGTTGGATCTGATGATGCTGCTTCATGAGTTATTACAGTTCATCTCGAGCGGATCATGAATGCCTGACAGCCGTGGAGCATGGCTATCAACACCAAGCTGTTGAACTGTGTTTAATGTTACTGTCCGTCAGCCTTAAATATCCTGTTAAGGTCTAAGGTACTTGCATATGACATAATATCCAAGTGCTTAACAAAGGCTTATGTTCATAAAAATATGCAATGCAATACGTGAGTAAAATAGTAATTAGATATTTATTAAATGCCTAAAACAATTAGGCTGTGTGTCACTGTCACACCTGTGCAATATGCATCAACATCACATGCAAACAAGACTATGTATAACCTACACCTTCCATGTAAAACTATAGCTCTAATAGCTTCTTTATCAGGAGCACAGTGGGTCAGTTATGTATTTACTATAGCCCCTGATAATAACCTTTACAGTTAATACTGATAAGATACTATTTTAGCTTTCTCGGTTCCCAAGGGCAAATTACAATGTGAGCTACTTGTACTTGTGTGTGACCAGACTTGTGTGGTTTGATTAATCTCTTGTTTTTGTCAGACTGAAGCTGTGGAGATTAAACAGGAGAAAAGTGAGAGAGAAGTTCAGCTGGATCACAGGAGGTATGAACATTTATACAGCTTTTTTTTTTTCTTTCATTTAACAATGTAATGAGGTTTTGTCTCCAATTTTTGCAACGTAAAAGCACAGTTGTATAAAAACGTCGGTTACATCAGTGCACAAATGACACTGAGACTCAATAGAAGTAAATAGAAGCTACACAAGTTAAATTGTTCTCGATAACATTAATAGTTTGTTTTGTTCGTCCTTTAGGAATAAAACCAGAATAGCTGGGCAGGAGAACGTTACGTGGCTGTGAGCAGTTCACTGACCTCACTATATTTTGGTCAAACACGTCCCGGAGCCTGGCAGCATGTTCAGTTATAAAGCACAACATTAGCTGGTTTTATGTGAACCATTTTTTGGATTCATTATATTTTGACAGGGTGAACTCAGTCTTCCTGGACAAACTCGAGGCTCGGGGCGGAGGGAGCGAGACAGAGACCAAGCGGGAAAGAGGCGTTCAGGAGGCAGAGCGTCCCCGTTCGGCCTCTGAGCATTTAAGACACCAGCCGTCCACCACAACGGGACAAGTCCCCCTCGCTCACCTGAAACCTGATCCAGAGCAGAGCTGCCCCGGCTGGACACAGGAAGCTGGTGAGCTGTTTCTCACGCCTTTTTTTAGTCTGGCTCAACGCTGGTTAACCGAACCTAAATCAGACCTGTGACAAGACTTGCCCACCTCATCCTTTCTCAGAGGACTGTGATTGTCTGTTTAGTCTGAGTTAAATCAAATCAAAGGCTTTACATGCTTCAAAAATGTAGGGAGGAAGTTATGTGTGGTACGTAGTGATACTGTAGCTGCTGGCTTTTAAATCCTGCTGATACTTGTAGTTTGTGGGAAACGTGTGTGTGTGTGTGTGTGTGTGTGTGTGTGTGTGTGTGTGTAAGAAAGTATTTTCCCTTCTTTCTGGGCACAAACCTTTACCTGGCATGAACTGAGCAATGTGTCAAACAGTTTGTGAGTTTTCAGTGCATAAGCCTCACACTTACACACACACCCACCCACCCACCCCCCCCCACACACA